CAACCCCTCCTCCAGGAAGTCCTCCCTGACCTTCTCAGGTTGGGTCAGGATCCCCCTTGAAGTCCCCCAGCTCCCTCTGCTCCTATCCCCCAGCCCTGTCCACTTTGGGTCATCACTGCCTGGGGACAGGTCTGTCTCTTCCACTGGACTGGGAGCCTCGAGGGGCAGGGCCTGGGCTAGTGTGGTCACTGCTGTGTCCCTAACACTGCCCAGCACAGAGCCCAGCACAGAAGTGCTCAGTGAATGCTGAATGACTAAATTGAATGTGCAAACCAAGTCTTCTAGACTCAGGATATTCTCTGGTGTCTGTTTTGGGTTTTTCTCACAGCTCCCACCAGCAGGTGGGAAAAGCAGCAGGAAGGAAGCAGACTGACAAGCACCCACCCTGGCTGTGCTCCACAGGGACCGATTTGCTGGAGCCACAGGGACTGACACTGGGATCACTGAATGGGCTGTGGCCATGTTGTCCAAGGGCTTCTTGGCTCCTGGTGGACTCTGTCCGTCCCCCTGTCTTGGTGGCTTGCAGAACTCCGTGCCAAACACCTAAACAGAGAAGAGACAGCTCTTTAAGAGAAACAGTAGGCGGGAGACAGAAGATGACAGCCAGAAAAGCTGTCCCAAACTTTCTGGCAGTGAGGCTGGGAGCAAGGACCCAGCTGAAGAGCTGCTGCTGACCTAAAGCAACCGCCTGCCCCTAGAAAGCAGCACAACTCTGACCCCTGCCCATCTTCCCCCCATGATGGCCTGAGATCAGTGACACCCAGTTGTACACCCTCCTAAAGCCACCAGAAACCCTGTAACCATGTAAGTTACTGCTCGCTCCCCTTTACCTGGTGCTCCTGCTTCCCTCGAGGTGACGGCCACTGGTCACTATGAAAACACATGTGGCTGCTCAGCCCTTTCTCAGTATAAAACATCTGGCTGCAATTCTTACAGATGTAAGTGCTCCTTGGCTCTGTCCAGTCTGCAGGACCCCCATTTTGCTGATTACTGTGGGCAGACATGGCAGGAGGGAAGAATGGGAGAATGGGACTCCATTCCTCATCACCAATTTTTTCTTTTTTGTTTTGAACTCCAATCTACTCACAACTCTTAAAAAACCCTACAAAATGAAGGCTGTACCCAAATTCTTCATGGGCTGAAGCATCCTCTTCAGGACTGAAAACATCCAGCTCACTCACCCAGGACCAGCACTTGCAAGCCACAGAGGACTCCTGCGGGGGTGAGCTTCCCAGGCAGGGCTGGAAGGGCTTCTTAACTTACCATCCACCTGACACATTCTCTTCCTTCATTGGATGGGGGAGCCTGTAGATGTTTCCACCCTAAAGATGAAAATATATCTGAGCCAATGCATCAGAAATGAAGGGTATGGAAAAACTAAAACTATAAGACAACATTGGAAGTAACACTGAAGTAAATCTTTGTGACCTGGGATTAGGCAATGGTATTTTTAGATACGGCACCAAATGAAAACAAAAGACAAAACAGGCAAATTGGACTTCATCAGAATTTAAAACTTTTGTGTTGCAAATGATACCATAACTAAAATGAAAAGACAGCCCATAAAGTGGGAGAAAATATGTGCAAATTATGTATACAATAAGGGGATTGCATCCAGAATATATAACAAACTCTTACGACCTAATAAAAAAAAGATAGGAACAATTTTAAAAACAGGCAAAGGATCTGAATAGACACTTCTAAGAAGATATACAAATGGCCAGTAGGCACATGAAAAGATGCTCAACATTAGCCATCAGGGAACTGTGAATCAAATGAGATACCACTTTACACCTACTAGGATGATTATAATTTAAAAAAACAGGAAATAAAAAGTGTTGGTGAGGATGTGGAGAAACTGGAGATCTCATATATTGTGGGTGGGATTAAAAATGGTGCAGCTGCTTTGTAAAACAGTCTGGCAGTTCCTCAAATGTTAAATGTAGAGTTGCCACATCACCTGGCAATTTCACTCCTAAATACCCAAGACCACACAAAAACTTGCACGAGTGAATGTTTTATCAACACTATTGACAACAGCCAAAAAGCAGACACAACCCAAATGTCCATCAACTGATTAATAGACACATAAAATGTAGTCTTTCCATTCAGTGGAACATCACTCAGCTGTAAAAAGGAATGAAGAACTGATACGTGCTACAACATGGATGAACCTTGAAAACATAATGCTGAAAGAACCAGACACATGAGGTCACATATTGTATGATTCCATTGATATGAAATATCCAGAATAGGCAAATCCACAGAGACAGAAAATAAATTTGCTGTTGTCAGGGCTAGAGGGATGGAGAGATTACAACTAAGCGATGTGGGCTTTCACTGTGGGGTGATAAAATTATTCTGGCAAATAGTGGTGATGTTGCACAATCTTGTGAATATATTAAAAACTAACAAATTGTATGCTTTAAAATGGTGAATTTTATGGTATTTGAGTAATACAGCTGTTAAAAAAAAAAAAAGAGGTAGCTGTGGTATGATGGGAAGAATGCTGGACCTGGAGTCACTCAGAAAAGTGGTTCACCTCTTCAGACCAGGATCACATGGGCATGAAGTACGAAGGAACCAAGCTAATGCTCATAAATGTGCTGAATAGCATGGGGCACGTAGCAGGTGCACACTTGTACTTGTGGAAAACATGACTCAGAAGCAGAAAATATATAGCCACTTCACGCAGGAATATTTAAGGGAGGGAGGGTTTCTACCCTTATATCCTCTGAAGAATTTAAGAAGACAAATCCAAAAGGAAAGAAGGGGCAAAAGAAAGCAAGCCAAAAAAATTTAGTGAAATCACAAAACAACACAAAAAGTTTTGAACGATTCTTTAACATCCTCATTCTGATCTTTTTTTCTTTCTTTTTGGTGGGGGAAAACAAAATCTCTCTGCACCTTAATTTATTCCTTTCTCTCTACAATCACATCTAAGTATTCACTGAGATGAAATAAAAAGCCTGGACAACTAACAAATGTTAAAACAAATACCAAATGCAACTCTTGCCTCCCTATGGTCAGGCCACATGAAAGAGGGCTCAGGTACCTGGATTCTGTTGAATATTGTCAGCTTGGACTTCAAGTCCCGTGGAGGATCCGAGGGAAGCCCAGCTGAGGAGAAAGAGGCCATGGCTACCTGGCTCGGAGAAGCCGTACAACACATATCCATCTTTACCTTCTCCTTCCGGAAGCCTGAGAAGCGCTGGGCCCTGGCATTGCCTGAGAAGAGTCTGTAACCTCCACCCCGGGAGGAGGCTGGGGTCTTTTCACCCTTCGTGGGCCCTGAAGCTGTGCCATTCTCAGCCTGGCCCTGCTTTCCAGGCAGCTGAGCTCTAGGGGGATCATCCCCACCTAACTGGGTCGGCCATGGGCCCATGGGGGGAAAGATGTCTCCCAGGTCCAAGGTCCCTTTTGAGGATCGCAACTGCTTGGCCAGAGAAGAGATGTCTGGATTCCCAGAAGCGTCCAGGGCCGGCGTTGTGAGGGCTGGCTGAGCTGCGGTCACTTTCAGTACTCCCTTCGAGTCTCGTCTCATGCTGCCAGGGGAGGCCTCTCTGGGAACCACAGGAGTGGTTTTCCTCCTGTGGGCTGCAGATCCCTCTGGCTGCAGGTTTCCTGGGCCAGCATGGTGAGAGTCAACAGCAGGTGCCAGAGGCAGGGGCTGCTGCGGCCATGGCCCCTGCAGTGGCTTCAGGGCAGCCTGCTTGCCTTCGGGCACGGGGAGCTGGGAGGAGGCTGCTGCCTCCTGGGCATGGGAGAAGATCCGCTGGGACTTTGTGATCATCTGGAACACTTGCATCTGCTCATGGCTCACCAGAGACTCCTGCGACTTCAGGAACAGCTGCCGAAAGAGTGGCGTGGCATCCGACGAGAGCCCGCTGGGTTTCTGGACATCCTGGAGGCCAGGCTCCGCAGAGTTCTGCCATGAGAAGGAGTCACAGTCAAACTTGCTATTCTTGGACACCCAGATGTCATCTTCCCCTCTGGCATACCTGGGGTCGCTAGAGGCCTCCCCAGGTGCCTTCAGACGTGAGGGAGGAAACGGCAGCACATCCTCCAGGATGGTGTCCAAGTTAGACGAGGCCTCCCCCGAGGGGGAGGCACTGCTGGGCCGTGAGACAGACTCTGAGCCTTCCCAGGATGGCATCGCAGAGGGCTTGTGGACCACGAACACATTGCTGCCTTTGTTCTTGGGGCAGCCAGGCAGGTTGCGGAGCCACTGGAAGTTGTGGCCTGATGGCTGGGAATTGGCAGGAACTGGCTGGCCTTGGAAGAGAGGCAGGCAGGCAGGCAGGGGGCCATCCTCAGGCCAACCCTCCAGGGTGGATGGGAGATGCAGCAGTGGGGACTCAGACTCTAGTGGGTCAAGGGCACCATTCTCGGCCACCCTTGAATGGACAGCTGTGAACATGTCAACGGCTGGCTCCTTCCGTGGGGGACAAAGCTCTTCAGGAACCTCAGAGCCTAGCGTTCCTGGCGCTGCTGGGGTGCCGGCTGGAGTGCAGGAGGAAGATTCTGATGAGGTGGTATAGGGACAGGCCGTATTCCTCCCTTCACCATCTGAAGGCCCCACTGTGGCTGGGCCAGGAGAAGGAATCTTCTGGTGAACAATGCTGCTCACAATACAGCGCAGGAGGTCTCGGTTGGGCAAGAGGGAGCCAGGGGACCTGGTTTCCAGGGGGACCAGGGACCGTAGGCCACTGGGAGGCGGCTGGCTGGCTGTGTCATGAGTGTGGGGCGAGTCCCCACAGGCTTCCTCTTCCAGGTGGTCTTCCTTCAGGATGCACAGGCCATGCTGGACCTCATAGTGCCTGCGCAGAGAACGATAGTCGCAGTAGCTCTTGCTGCAGCCCTGCTCAATGCACACGAAGGGCTTGGTCTTCTGATGGGTGAGCATGTGCCCGGTCCTGGAGCCAGACACAAGAAGGGATGTCAACAGGCACCTCAGATCAGGTCTTCCATTACAGGACCCCAGTGGCCCCAGGGTCAGCAGTACATCCACACCACCATTCAGAAACCATACTCAGCCCCGACAAGGAAAGACCACCAAGAAACCCCTATTCTGTCAAAGCAATCTGGAAGGGGTGCTCCTCTCCCTCACCTTTAAGCAAACCCCTTATCTGAAAAAATAAAATCCACTGAAGCCAGATCAGACTTCCCTAAAGTGGGTTCTCAAGGAATACCAGTCCTCCATAGTTGTTCCCTGAGGACTTGGGCACAGCTGACAAATAAATTTTGAAAAAACACTGTTCACTCCTTAGAGGTTCACAATGCACAGAAGGAAATTTAAAAGCTACATAGAGAGAGAGAAAGAGAGAAAGCTGTTTAACTTTTGGTGTATCTCAAACTTATTTGCCCAAAGAATCATTTTTTTTCAGATAGCCCCTATTAGCATCCCTGAGAACCAGAGTTCTTCAGAATACACTTGAGGTGATGCTGACTTGGGATTATCCTTCCTTTAAAAAAGGAGTCTATGCCTTATCGTATGCTTCCTCTGAGAAGACAGCTACCTGGAACCCCACACATCTGTACAGATGCCCAATCAGTACAACCCTTCAAGAGCCAAACAGCCAAGTGTGTCCATAATTTCTGCAAACATAAATGCAGATAAATATACATTCTACCTATGTCTACATTAATACATTATAAATATAAACAAATGAGTCAATCACCCTCTGGGTTCCCAACAGTACTGCTCTGGACAGTCCTAGTAAGTGTGGTACATGAGGTATGTCCAATAAAATAATAAAGCCTTTCTGCAAAAGTTGACCCTTGGCTTCAATCTGAACAAAGCAACAGAGAAGAAACCAGGAGACTTCTGTTCTAGCCCCAACTGTTACCAATTTGTGACATAAGCAAATAACTTCCCTTCCCTGGGGTAGGGGTGGGCAAGAGGGTAAAATGAAATATGGATTAATCAAAGTCCTCTGTGAAAGTGAAGAGCCTATAAAAATGCAAGGGATTGTCATCTCCCACTTGCAAATCTCTTGGTTTGAAAACAGTCTCACAGGCAAGAAAAGCTTATCATTTCTAAGACATTAAACACAAAGGGAAATTTGCTTGTAACTCTTAAATTGGGCTTTCTTTTTGAAATCAAGAGTCTTTAAAAAAAAAATCTAGAATTTACCTGGTTGATCCTGCCAGTAAAAAAAAATAACATAAAAATTGAGTTAAAAAAGAAGTTAAAAAAGAAAATCAAGGGTCAATGCTCTATTGCCATGTTCTAGAAACAGGCATCTCAGAATCTTTTGTGCCCCTGAGTTATCCCAACACATTCTCATGGAACACAGACCCGTTCTCCTCAGACACCTACCAGGGACACAGAACATTTCTCTATAAAGTTAGCCAATCTTCCCTCCTCGATGCAATTGCCTTGGGAGCGAGCCATTTCATGTTTTTAGACCACAAGGGTTCCGTCTGCAAATCAAAGCAGTGATTTCCTCACTGGTGTGAATCTGGGGGCTTGGAAGAGCAACCCATCCAGGGCAGTGCCAAATCTGCCAAAACCTACCCCCGAACACTGGCAGTGTGAGAAGAACGGAGTCTGCATCTGAGCATGGATTATACACATTTGGGGAATAAGGAGGTAGGAAAACCCAACAGAGAAGGGGATAGGTTGATCTGGAAGGGTCGGAAGAAGACCCAGGAACACAATCACTCCCACCAGCCCCCGGAACAGACATTTTCTTGACCAGACTCCTACATACAGGTGGTCCTGACGCTTAAAGGCCTTGCTGCAGATCTTGCAAACGTGTTTCCTTTCCTGGCTGTGCGTCAGGTAGTGCTTGCTAAGAGAACTGGCGCTGCTGAACACCTTCCCACACAGGCTGCAGTCCAGAAGTGGGTTTTGAGGGGAACTGTGCTGCCGCTTTCCTTTCCTCACACTCCCCGAGGTGGCCCTGACTCCTTCGTCAGCCTCTTTAGGCACCTTAAGCATGCCTAGCCCCAGGTCTAAACAGAGGGAGAAAACACAGGTTATATACAACTGGGGAAATCAAAGAGTACGCATGCACGCTAAAGCACACTACAACTCTTAGAACCACAGTGGCTTTGTGTCAGCCAAGAACTGTCACTCCAACCTCAGTAGCTTTACATGGAAAGAAAACAAGGTGCAAACAAGGTGCAAGAGTAGGCAACGGGGAGCAAGGGCCCTGGTCAGGTAATACCTGTGGGACAGTACCCAGTCTTGATGCCACACATGGGGGGATGGTGGCAGGTTGAAGCACTTCTAGGACAGTGTGATCAAGACGGACAGGACTTTATGACTACATCATACCTGGTACTCTTGGAAGGGCAGGCCAATATTATCCAAACCTTGAAAAAGTATAAAATCCTGGCATTCACTCAGCCAATTCTATTCTGGGGTTGTTAAAATAAATGTAGCTTTGTACAAGGACCTAGCTGTAAGGGAGTTAGCTGTAATACTGCTTTTCCTGGTGAAATGTTAGAAACAACCTAATATCTGACAAGGGGGCATATAGGTGACTGCACTATGGTTTAAATGGTCTATGACATACATATTTACAATAAAACTGTAGAAAAACATCTGATGACATGAAAGGATATCCATGCCATATTACTAAGAAAAATGCAGCCTACTGCAAAACAGAATTACCCTAGTTGTTAAAAAAGAAAAACAAATTTGAATAGATCAATTGGTTAGAGTACAGCCTTGTAACACCAAGTTCAAGGGTTTGGATCCCTGTACCAGCCAGCCACCAAAAAAAACAAAAAAAATAGAAAACAGCCTGAGAAAATGGGATTGACTGGTAGGTTTATGGTTGGTTTATTTTCCTCTTTTTGCATATCTGAATTTTCTACGTTCTTTGTATCACTTGGGTAAAATGATACAAGGTATTTTTACAAGTCACATCACCCAAGGAACAGCTGAAGAAACGGAATGTTCAGGTGGGAAAGGGGAGATGTCTTGAAATATCTGAAGGGCCAGCTCCAAACATCTGTGGAGGGGAGAAGAGATTGCTTCTATCATGCTGCAACAAAGAAAGCAACATTTGGTGAATGGAGATTAAAGGGAAGCTGGCTTTAGAACTCTAGAAACCTAAGGGTCATGGATACTGCTGTGTTCCCAGCTCCTGGAATTCCCATTCTGGCACTAATAGGCACTCAATAAATGTATGTTACATGAATGAACAATGGAAGATTTGTCTACCCCTTAGATTGGTCTGTAAGATGGATGAGACTGCTTTATAAGAAGGCAAGTTTAGAAATAACCATTTATCTATGATGCTGCAAAGACAAGATCCAAGAATCTAACAGGCTAGGGCATCAGGAGAGGGAGA